GGTCACGTGGTTCCAGGCCGGCTTCTGTCCCATTTCCTCTGACCAAGGCCAGCGGGAAGGCGAAGCAAACTTATACGTGGAATTCAACTGGGGTCAGAGTAAAATAGGGGAGGAGGTGGCCAGGAACCACGTGACCAGCATAAAACACTACCTTACCGTCGTGCCCATGAGATTAACATCAACTCACGCGGGCAGCAACAAGTGATTAGTCCGTTGGTCGACGAGGGGCAGGCAAATCAGTAGGCTGACAGCCGTAAAGGTCACACGGGTCCACCAGTGGTCAGACTCACGACCAGTCAACAGCGAACAGACAGGTCAAAGTTCGTGCGTCGAGCACGGATGTCATACCAGGTATGCGGCAAAGCTGAAAAAGTCCCGGCAAACAGGAAAAATCACCTAGTTAATTTGACAGTGGAACCGAGCGAGTGTCCGAAATATCAGTATCAATATAATTGAGTCCATCTTCTCGTACCTTCTTCTTCATCTTCTTTGGGGATAGTGAAAACGATAAGATCACTGGACCTCAAATCTTCACACATATTAAGCAATCACTGTACTCAATTCTTCCGGGCAGCGACGGCTGAATCGGACTAGCGAATGCTGCCTATACCTGAGTTGATTTTGACGAGAACAATCAGATCCTCAGGGAAACAGTGTTTGCTTAAAGATGGACTCTAATGCCAGCGGTTACAGGCTCTTGTCTCACACCTCCTCCTAAGCTATTGACGCAACCTGGCCAAAATGACTGGATTTTATTTTTCATGTCATTTATTTATCGAGCTTATACTATCCATCTACACAACTAGAATAAAGCAGATTTTTCTGTCCGTACGAGAATATAGAGAAAAGGCATGGCAGTTATCGTCATTTGAGCCGACATCCTAGTTTAAAATGGCACCAGGATGATAACACTACTGTCCATGTTGATTCGTAGAGCTGATGGCTCCAGGTTAGATTACATCTGGAACGTTACTTTTTGATGCGCCTGTCCCGCGCCTCCCAATACACTTAAGTAAGGGTTAGATCACTCCAAAAATATCTCAAAACGTAGTAGCGGGTAACTGTGCACCGATCTGTTTCAGGATGTACCCATCCAATCCTGTTCACACATATATACTGGGGGTGCCGAGATCTCGCAAACAAGGCATCAAACAGGTTGGATACATCCCGAAACAGATCGGTGCACAATTACTCACTACTATATAGTCCGATCCCAAACGGACAACCCGGCGGACCCGTGGCTCAATAGTTAGAGCCTTCGCCTCTGGCCGGAGAGACGCGAGTTCGAAACTCGGGTGTGGCGGCAATTTTCACTGCTACATTGGAGTTGAGGTAACATCACCTGATGACGCCTAATGAATCAGAAAAGGCCTTTGTGGATGTCCTCTGTGTTTGTCGATAATACATTACTTAGCTCAAAATATGGTCATGTGAATGATGGATAATACCTTCCATGCCAACTATGGTATTTAAAAGCTTATCTCATACACTAATGAGGTCATACTGTGTCCTTCCATTCCATAGTTAAGAAATCAAAACATTTCCGTGATATACTAGTTGAAACATGGAGAAATAGTGCTCTTCCAAATTCAGCGTTGCTTGGGAGAAGGGGAGGAGAGGTAAAGGCGATTTGGGGGTCCAATCTTAGGGTTTCCTTCCCAGCAATTGAATTAGTCAGAGAGACATTGTCAAAAAGTTAACGGACAGTGGAATGGCCACTTTTGGCTTATTAACCATAATCAGCCAGTTATACCTAACTCCAGGTGGTGCGGCACTTGCAACTTGGACCCGCGACCTTTTGGTTAGAAGTCCAACGTTCTAAACACTGTGCATTGTGTTCGTTGTCGTGACGGTCTAGATCTGGAATATATACCTTAGCGAAAAAAGTGTATCGACTGCTAACGGAACTCACTCGTCTTATTATGCCTGGGAGTTTTCCCTTGAGCCCCATCAACAGCTGCACAACGGCTAATATTGAAGGCAGATGAATATCGCTGACAAAGACCAGGGAGACTGGAATGGCCATTTCTGGCTTATTAGACGTCATCAGCCAGCCAAAACTAACCGTAAGTTGTGCATCACCTGAGGCTCGAATCCGTGACCTTTTTCTTAGAATTCCAACGATCTAACTCACTGCACCATATCGAATTACGGCAGAATTCTGTTA